TGTATATGATACCCTACACAAAGCCTATATATAACTTCCTATACATCCCCATAGAATAACATCCAGAACAGTTTTTGCTGAAATGCATGTCGCTCACTTGCTGCTCGCTAGGCCTTGGACGGTTAGCAACCACACTACCGCAGGGCCATTAAACAAAAAACCTGCTTCGAAACCGACGCCCCAATAAACTGCATCGCGAAGCTTTCCAAGGCTTCATAGTCCGCGCACATGTCGAAAGGCAACCCATCAAAATCGACGGGGTTCCGGAACGCCTGCGTGGTGTTAGCCCCTGTCTAGCACTCCCAAATAAAGCAGCGCATGATTCCGGAGGCCCCCGCACATCTCCGCCACAACATTTGGAGAGAATATTGGGAGGCTACGATCAAAGAAAATGGACTCGTAGCTTCAGAAGTCATGTGGGTCGTGCTGCGACAGTATGAGGGGCCTGGCAGGTGTCAGAGTCCAGCGTGGAATTTCGCTGCTGCGCCAGGGATCGCAAGTAGTTTGTCAGCATCTCGCCTGAAGAGCAGACATGGCAAGTACAGATAAGCACATCCGTGCCAACACCTCTCTTATACAGACATATGCGGTCATACATAAATGCATACAGCATGGTGCAAATGTACGCGTAACTATGAACGTATACATATTTCTTTGCATGCACATGCATCAGCTGCTTCCTGCAAGGAAAATGTAATTCCCACATGCTGCCTGTCTAATCCTTGGCAGGCCGTGCTTGAAGCAAGCTGGGGTGCAAGTGCTGGATGACGAAATCTGGCCAACAGCCCAGCTTGACTTTCCTACTCACGACTACGGCGGATACCAGAGTCCTGCATGGCCCTGGGTACCGTACATTTTGAAATCGTAGTGCTATAGTAGTATACCAATGTCATACAGGATTTTAATATCAACGGTCTGGGCCCCTTTTTGGGGAAATTACCGATTGTGGTACTGCACCTAGCATTTTGGGACGAGTTGGAACGCTCCACTTCCAGCATGTGGGTGCCGCATGGTGCTTCCCAAGGCTTCGTATGCGACTTGCTCTAGAGGGAGAGGTAGCGACCCTTGTGATACACAGGGATTATAAATCATATTGGGGTCTTCAAGGATTTTCTCTCAGGTTAGGGTCAGAAGCTCCCACGTATCAAGTCAGAAAACTCCAACCCACCCGGCTCATGACAGAAAGGAAGAGCTTGCTGGCTATGCCAGCCTTGGTGATTACACAAACCGGCTTTGCGAGGTCATCAGAGATTGACTGGGGTTCAAGGGGGATAATACACCCAACTATGGACAATATAATGGAAAAGATAATCGAACATGAAATGGAAAGTGGGACAATCCAGTATTATGTAGGGATTTGGGCTCGCAAGAGTTGAAATTCAAATTTTGGGGGTCCTCTCAGTAAGGATTATAATACATTGGGCCAACATTGGGGTCCATATTAGGGGCCACGCATTTACGAAAAGCTACCACACGGACAGTTGCTTTCCCCTCAGGCACGGGCAGCTGAGGATCAGGGTTTATCATGCTGGCGACAGGGTCAGAGTTTAGGGCTTAGGGAACAGCACATTCACGTTCCAACCGGGCTTCTAACAACTGGCTGAGGAAATTCTGTGGAAACATGCTAGGAGTGGCACTCTAAACGTACTTGCTCGCCAGCATTGGTATGGGCGACGTCATCGTTCAATTTGAGCTGTATATTCGATTCATGACTCAATGACTGCTTTGCATTGCGGGCTTAGTTGGATAAGCGGAGAAACTTTTGCTACAAAGTCTCCCCCTAAACTGTGGAAACCCTAACCCTTAACCCGCAGAGCAAGTTGCTCCCAGGTTCCGCATCGCTGCAGTTCCGGAGCTGCAGGCTCTTTTGGTACTCTGGGCGGCAGGCCCTAGGCAAAGCAGCGGCTTCTGTCACACAACGCTGGAATTTCGTCATATATATATATAAATACATATATACAGTAGTGCAGTAATGGAGCAAAATGGGAGTATAGTGTGAGGTCCTCTGTAAAACTTCCAAAATGATACACCTCTTTTTGAACACGGCCCTGCGAGACCCCATCCGTCCTTCCCTGCTCGCTCCAACTTCCAACTAAGAGCACGGAGCGCAACAGAAGTTGAAGATAGTTGAAGTCTGCTCTGTAGGCCAGGAAACACCAGCATCTGCTAGGTACACCTGGACTCTGACAATAACACTCGGACTATGTAGCATTGACAATGGTAAGCTATATGTGCAAGCTGCGCCATACCCCCCCTGGAACAAGCATAACCCTTGACACAACCCAATGGCTCACCAAAACACAAAAATCAAAATTCAAAACTAAGCCGCCAAATTAAAGCCCTAAACCCTAAAAGATGTGTGAGACTCATCACCTGTGCCAAGCATCCCCGGGCAACCATACTTCGCGGAAACCTGGGTTCCGATTCCACCAATGACAGAGGTTTCCATCAGTACGAGGGTCACATCGTAGACCACGATACGGGCAGCCGTTAAGAAGGAGAAAAGTTTGGAAACCTAATTCAAGAGAGTTTTAGGGGCCTTGGGCATAAGACTCAACAAGTACCCCAAAACCTAAACCGTGGACCCTAAAAAAGTGGTTTAGGGTCCTCAAAGGAGCCAAGCAACGGCGACCAAGCTCCCCGTCAGCGCATTTTGGCAGCCACATGTGATGGGGCATAATGCCCGGAGCCTGTACTCAGCTTCTTGAAAACATCTGCTCAAGTGTACTTGAACTTGCATATCTCACCTCACTTATGCTTAAAAGGCTTTCCCTTGTTTGAATTTGTGCTGGACACTCCTGGTATTCAAGCTCCCGAAAAGAGGGTCGCCTAGGTAGAGGGGCAGGGGGCCCCGAGTTTACGGGTTTATGGATGCTGGGCTGGGCCAGCCCTGCAGCTGCGGTGACTACAGACATCTGTAAATTAAACAGACAAAAGTGGATGTTCCCTAAAACTGCTGCGGCTCCGTCCTGTGAGATAAATGACTAGCAGGCCATCATCGTAGCAACGATAGTCCCAATAAAAGTGATAGTAGCGGTGGCCGCAGCTGCTAGGAAAAGCCAGAAGATGCGCCCGAGCTGGACAAACCAATGCATAAAAGACCCAACTCAGGTGCAGTCTTTTTTTTCTAACTTAATTACAATGGTAATAATGATGGAAGTAGTAATAATAGCAATAAACAACAAAATAATAATAAGAAGAATAATAATAATAATGCTGCTTTCTTGTAGTAACAGTAATTACAACAAGGCCTCCAAAGGGCGTAGGCCTGAAAGGACCAGTCGTCACAATATGTGCTCACGGATGCGCACGACTCCTCGGCAGGGTTTACCCGAGGCAGACACCGCGCTTGTGGACATTTCTACTCAATACATTCCCTACAGATCCACATAGTCCAGTGTAGAAAATGTCTAGAGACTTTAGGGTCCAATGTGAATATTACTTGTATACTTGGACCCCTAAACCCTTAACCATTGGCATAATAACCTTTTGCCCTATTTGCCTACTTGAATCCTTAGGGACTCGCTACTGTAGACAGCATCCTTAGAGTACCGCCCTACTCGTACTACTTGAGTCTCTCCGCAGCACCACCTCTACCACTACCCCTGCTGCTGCTACTCCAGTACTCATACTAGTACAAGCGCTGGTACCACACCACTTTTCGACGCTGGCGGTAGCAACGACCGAACGCCAGTCCTACAACTTTTCCGAGTGGTCAGCCATGCGTCTATCTCATCAGTTTGCAACATCTCCTGCATGAGCTGGACAGCCGCCGTCCCAAAGTTCTGTAAGCCCGAGCTCTCAAGCACCGGGTGGTCACTGTCCAAGCAGACGGGCATGAAGTCATTTCGACTTTCAAGATTCCTGCCCTCAAATTCCACGATGACCTGCTTCAAGACATCGCTCACCTGTGGCTTTCATGGTCAGATACCTCACATTAATTAATGGAGAAAAAATCTGATAAAACAATATCAAGAAGGGCACAAGCCCTGATTGTCAGTTGGCATTGAAGTGCTCGAGAAATTGCAGCGAGATGACTTTCCTCCCACTCCTGTGCCCTAGCTGGCTCCCCATGGAAGACCTACTAGCCCTACCCAAGACACTAACCTACTGTAGACCCCAACGCGCTAGAATCCTCATTATGAGGACCACCACAACAGGCTGTTAATTTCCGGAACTCCCGAAATATTCGCTCAACAACGACCCAGTCACGACGCGAACAGCACTGGGCTGCAGTTCCTCCTGACCCTGGAGGCCGGTGGCCTCAAAGACCGCTCGGTATGCGTAGGTCGCCTGAAGACGGTCTTCTGCAAGCAGGGGGGCCCTTTCAAAGGGGCTATAGGGAAAGTATGAGGTAGGGGTTTTGCTTTTGGCGGGGGGGTTAGGGGCTTCTCAAAATTCAGGATCCCAAGGAGTCGCTAGAATCAAGCCTAAACCCTAAACCAGCATTTGGGGTTGATAAGAGGGAAGCTTAGCTTGAAGCTCAACCCTAAATCCTAAACCCGGTTCACATCGGGCTGGTTGGGCTTGTGGCTTGAGATCATGCCAGCGCAATACCAAATATGTGGGTTCAAGGCGCCAGGATTTTTAGGGATTTTGAAGGGATCGCAGACGGAGAGCCCTCACAGCATTCAAACCTCAAGACTTGTTATTTGTTGTAAGGGCAGGCAAATCGGATGGAAAAGGCTTTCCAACATGAAATGGAAACTGGGAGCCGATAATTATCTATTGTCTATTGTATCTATAGGGTTTGGGCCTTACCTGCTGGCTCTGGGTAAGGAAAGAGGGATAAGAGAAGACACTGGAGACTTCTGTAGAGGTGAGGGTTGGGGCTTAAAGAAAATGGAAGCTACTGGGGATTATAGAAGAACCCAAACCTCAACCCTACGCCCTAAACCCCAATTATCCCCTAAACCCTATACCCTAGACATTACATCCTAGTCTTCCTTCCCTACGAACAAGCTGTACATAGAAAGCCTCGCTGAAACTTGAAGAGTCGCGGTTTGCTCGGAAGCTGTGGCGCTGTATTCTCTCATGAACACAAAGCCCGCCTTAGCTGACAAACAGGGCTAAGCACGGCTTAGGCTTTAATATGGAGGGGTATATAGGGATATATGAGGTTTAGGGCTTAGCGTTTCCCAAGAATTCGGGGACCTTTTGGGGTATCATAATAGGGACTCTACCAAAATTGAGGTCTATATTGGGGTCCCCTATTTGGGGAAACTACCAATACGGTTTAAGGTTCAGGGCTGGACCCTCCCAGTACCCTCAGTTGGGGAGGGTCCTTAATTTTAGTGGGTACATTACGTAGGCCTACACTGAAAGCAGGTAGAGGGTCTAGGAAGTCTACATAAGAACACGGCAGGGCTTTGGGGACGGACTTCAAAAAATATAGCTTAAATACTAAGCTAAAATGCATATAAACTTACAGTCTGGCTCACCAATATGAAGGGACATTGGACACACGTTGACGGCATAGTTGCTGGAGCGGATTCTTATCAGGTCTTTTGCAGAGCCGCCATAAACCCTCAACGCTTGAGCTGAGAATGCCCAAACTTTCCCCCAAAAAGTAACAGTTAACACACGCGGCGGATACCCTGAGTACCCTAAACTTTGGGAATTATGCTACTATAGTATGCTAAAGCCGGATTTTCAAGTATCAACAGTCCTCACATATTCCTACGTAGGTTCAGAAACCCTTTTTGGCTGCGCCTTTCTTTACCTAAAACCATTAAAACGCTATACCTATACCCTAAACGAAAACCCTCAATCTAATGATTTTGGGCCCAGGAGCTGCGTCCCTGAAGAAACTGAAGGATGTGTGCCCGCTGCATAGGGCATCCGCTGTCTCTTGCCTGGGTTTACAGTTTTGGGTAGGATGGCTTAGCAAAGGCTACAAAAAAAATCTGCAGGGTTTAGGGCTCAGGGTTTGGGCAAAAGGGTTTAGGGTTTATGGTAGGAAGACCTAGACCTAGAATCTCGACATGGGGATGCTTTCCTGCCACCTACATGGAATGTTGCAGTTGGCCAAAATATGCTACAATAGCCCGACCTTCGTGGCCTACCAAAAATCATCCTGGGTCTTATTGCGGATGTCTTCAGCACAGTGGAAGAAGATAACTGCAAAAGCGGACCCAAGTTCCCCCAAAACCCTTCTGCCTAAACCTCTTGACCAAAACAGGCTATAAGTCTATATGAGCCAATGTCTAAACTCCTAGTATCCCCCTTAATATCCCCTATAGTAGTCCCCTATATAATCCCCCCTTAAGGAGTTTAGACTGTAGCTCATATAGATAAGTTTCTCCCTCTGGTGCTCGTCAGAAGTGGGCGGAGGGCTAACCTAAGCTACAAGCATTGGCCCCAGCGGCATCCTATCGACCATGGGCTGCAGCAGGAAGAAGTGCGAGGTTAGTACCACCATCACCATAAAGGTCACCTGAGAAGGTTAGTTTAGGGTTTAGGGTTGAATTTTTTAAGGTTTTACCTCAGAAGGTAGGATGAAGGTAGATGCGGGAATTCTCAAAAATGGCCCCCAGATAGTATAACCCTTGTCATAGGTACCCCCAAAAAGGCAATCCTGATCATGGACACCCCAAAATAAACCAGTGAAGGTCATGTAGGGATTATGTGGGGCTTACGGCCGCAGTGGTTTACGGTATCCTTGCCTTGTTGATTTCAGGAAGGTTTCGGTTTAGTGTTTAGTGATGGCCTTATACCTATATCCGTTTCACTCCGATACGTGCATCTCACGCACGCGTCCGCTGGAATAGCCATGAGACAAATATGCTTTCATGCTAACAACAAGACGAATAATATCAGTACCTACAATAGCAATAGTACTCGCAACAAGACTACGAACAATATTAAGGATCACACTAAGTACCTGCTCGGCAGGGGTGAAGGAAGTTCATCGAAACAAATCCAGGGCTCCCCATGGTTGTGTGGAACTAGATCACCGCTGGCGCCTCAAATGAAGACAGGATTCCAAAGAATCACCCGCTGGCCAGTATGGGCTGGGATACCATGTCCGGATCCGTGAATGGCACCTAGTTCGCCGCCCTTGCAAGGTTTTCAAAGTCTGGAAACGGACCTGAGCCCATCTATCCAAAAATTAGGCAACATGGGGGTAGGTAAGGCTTTCATGCAAAATGGAAACGAGAATGGACATTGCCATGTCAGGATTTAAGGTTTACTGGGTAGCCGGTACAGAACTTAATAACTTAACTTAAGCTACGATACTATACTCAGCAAACCCCAATATCTATTATATCCACTATCATGGTAGCTTAAACGCCAAACCCTAACCCTCAAAATTAAACCCTAAACCCTAAAGCCTCTTTAAAGTTCTTTAACAGCAACCCGATTTAGGGTCTGACGACAGAAGTGCTGAGCAGCCGGAGGCCTGGAGAGCTTCACTTTCAAATCGACCCCTGCCCAGCAAAGTAATCCCCATATATATGACCCCCTATATATATGGTCCCTCTTAAGTAGATAGAATATTGCTTTGGGTATATTATAGCAAGAGCCATACTCTGTCTACTTACGGGGGACAATAACCCCCTATATATCCATTATATACCCTCTATATATCCGCTATAGGACCCTTATACATCCAATATAGAGCCCTTCTATGACCCCGTGTCTGTCAATCTTGAGCACTCTTTCCCTGACTCTGATGCCGAAATCCTGACACAAAGTGGACCCCTGAAGACGTGACTCCTGGTCCCAAAAGGCTGTTAAGGCCTCAGGTGCATAGGGTATACCTTAACCTACTAAAACCTAATTTTTTGGTAGGGTCCTACTATAAAAGTAGAATAGATTTTATGGGGACCCTACGAGAAAGTAGGTTTTGGTAGGGTTTAGGGTTATACCAAGTGCCTCGCAGGACAGGAGGGAATGGGTTGCAGGAAACAATTTTAGGGATTCCGTAGCCATTACCCTCATTCCCCACTGGGAGCCAGGTAGTGTTCGGTGTAGACTCCTACGGCCCCCAAATAGGACACACACCCCGAGCTAGACTGATATGGGGGTTATAGTGGATATTATGGGAACTCGAGGGTTGTAACAGGGTCTTTCCGGTTTGGCCTCTAAGGATCTGTCTGAAACAAAGTATACCAGGTAGGCATCTTAGAAAACCCAAGTGCAATCTATGGCTATAGCTCTGAAGGACGAAAGCTGATACGAGCTGGTTAGGACTTTAGGCTGCAGCCAAGGTTCAACGCCAACGTGCCGCACACAGGACATCCACGGCCGTGCCTGGCTACAGCTTTGGGTTGGAATTGGGGTCTATAGGGTTCAAACGCGGCCTTCACGTTTGGACATGGACGCTGCTATGCCCCAAGCCCTAAACGGTTGAATGCGCAACTGTTGTCCCTGTGGCCAGACGTTGCAGCTCGACTTTTGCAAGGCTGTCCGCTGCCACCAAACATGGGAGGTTCCCAAAATTGGGGTCCCCAAAATGAGGAATAGTATTTCTGGATACTTCTGGGAAAATACTACATCCACAATGGAAAATGCGACCGAATTGGGTCAGAAGGAAGCCTCCAAAATACAAACAACAAATATGAAAATCTTCCGGACCCCCATCCCTATTCAAAACAAGCCTCCACAAAAGACTTCTAACTTTCTATATCAGGACTGAGCTTCCTGACTCGCTGCTTGAAGAACTTCCCATATCAAGCTCTTTCTCCAAAATCTGAAGGTTTCAAGCACCCACCCACAAGAATAACACCTACTTTTCTGAAATCAAAAAATCATCAACCCTTATGTACACCCCGTGGCCGTCATTTTCCATTGTCTTCTCCATTTCTTTAATCTCCATTAATGGGTGATAATGCCCCTATAGCTCCTAGCTGAAGCCAAAGATACAAGCTTCACTGTCACTTCTTCCACTCGCTCCAGGGTGGACACAACCTGCCAACAACTCCTACACAGCAGAAATAGCAATAGTAATACTATTAATTTAGTAGTAATAGCGAAAACTGTCAGAATACCAGTAGTAGTAGTAGTAGTAGTAGTAGCAGTAGTAGTAGTAGTAGTAATAGTATCACCTGCAATTGCAGTGCAAATTGTAGGGATTTTGTAGAATTGTCATTGAGTCATCGTATGTGGGCTATGCTGACAAAACTCTGCATGGGAATGCGCGATAGGAGAACTAGGCCAAAGGGGGCCTACCTTGTTTTAGGATTCGCTTCTTTGATGCGGGTAAACCAAGCCCATGTGATCATATGTGGGACGGTCCAGCACAAGACTGTTGCTAATCCAAAGCCCCCGAGATATGGAACCCATGAAAATCACATGACTCCCATCGCGTCTCATCCTGATTACGGGGCTTGGGGCTACCAAAATTTCTTGTTTTTTTTCGGAAGGTGCACCCCTGTTGTGTCTCTAAAGCAAGGGCAAGGCTCAAACCGGTCGTCAGCGAGCACTGGCCATTTCTTGAGGCCAGGAAGAAGTACACAAACATGCACAGTCATGCACATTCTGTGACACAGAACCCGAAAATTAACTTGATAGACATTGTAGATGGACATGGTTCATGCTTCTGAGCCGCATCTGCACTTAACTAACTTGCTGCACTACAGAGCCCCCATGGCCTTGTAAGGCATGAGAAGTGTGAAAAACACGTCATCCACGTGGAGCACCACCTCCAGAGCAACCTCAGGCAGTGATCATGATGTCCTACAGTTTCCTTGCTAGCCGGCTGTTTCTATTCTGAAAAAATGCTTTTTCCACTATATCACTACGAGGGACCATAATGAGGGGCCCATCATCTTGGATACTTCAGTAACTTACTGGTGGTCAGTAGAGAATAGGGAAGTGGATCCCTACACAAGTGTAGATGTACTCCCTCAAAAAACAGTAGCGGCCACTTTCTAGACACAAGAAAGCTGGCATGCGGAGTCATGGCTCAACCGCTCAAGCCCCGATGACAGAAGCTTTAGGGTTCTTGCGCTGCCTATGAGTACACCATCTACTAGCAACACGACATCAAGTCCATATGATTTCAAACTGTGTCCCGGCATCCTGAACTCAACAGCGCACGTCCAAAAATGGCAGAAAAGCCTTAGGCTAATCCCCTCCCCCGAACAAGCCCCCCCTAATACTGAACACCTCCAATGTAATAGCGTTGTATGATAGAGAACGCATTTATCATACGGGGCTGCGGGAGGTTGATTACGAGGTGAAGGAGAATGAGCTCAGACAAATTGGCAGGCCCTGCAGGGTAAGCCATGTATCCAGCACAGGCTTTAATGTCCTTCTAAATGTCAACAATATTCCCTGCTACTTGTGCAATGCTTACATGCTCATGTCAGTGACGATTCCCTTGTTAAAGGGGCGTAATGACTTCAACTTGTTCGCAGTATTGGCTCTACTCCAGTCCTTGCTGCAGCTGCTGCTGCCGCTGCCACCACCACCACCACCACCACCACCACCACCACCACCACAAGAAGAAGAACAAGGCATGATACGAAGAGTTGTCATTTTTTGGCCATGTGCCAATATGCACTGGTTTTTGCACATGGACATTTCTTTGAGGTCCAAAAAATGGCAATTGTTTGACACTTTTCTTTATTCTTGCGGACCAACGCATGTGATCCATTTCGTGCCTTTCGATCTGGTCTTATCGCGATTTCCGATTGTTTTTTTGCTGCCAGAAACGTGGCCTCAAAAAACAGAAAACGCTTGAGGAAGATTTTTGCTGGGTCGTGCGTTCGCTCGGGAAGATGTGCATTTCGGGTGTTTTTTTGCGCCCTTTGATTGGTTCCTTTCCATTTTCGCTCCACGGCCACGTGCGCGAGCCACTTCAAGAAAAGGAAGCATCTGGACTGCGTTTACTTTGAGCATAAATGAGTATCCACGTGCCTTAAACATGCTACCATGCTACTGCGCAAAATAAGGTTGATCTATTGAGAACCATACTCTTGCACAGCATTCCTGAAGGCATAACCCCTCAAACATATAAGCTGCTCAAATGACCATCTTCGAGGGCGTTTTGTGCAGCGAAAAAATAATCTAGAATCAGTCTAAAAATCGCGCTAAGACCAAATCAAACTCACAAAAGTGATCATGCACATTCGTCTACAACAAAAAAGGTGACAAATAATGCGCTGCTTCCTCAAAAACATGTCAAGCGCAGCATCCTTCCCCCAAGCCGCATGCATCTACGGGGCTCTTGCAGGAAGCTTGCCATTGCTGTGGATGCGACCAAACAACGTACGCTGGAACCCCCCCCTACCCCCCAACCACGAAACGTCCAAAGGTTACGATCCTTTCATGGCCACATTTGCGTACCCTGACAAAAATAACAACAAATACAAACACGATTCCTAGTAATAGTCTATGATATCATTATGACTCATTATGTAAGAGCGATGCCGCTGGTGCTGCTGCTACCTACTAATTACGACGACATAATATGACAGCGACGACGACTTCTACTAGTGCCGCTCTTTTGTCCGCGGCTTTGCTGCCCAAGGAACTGTATTAAGGATCAGCTCAGAAACGGAGGCTGTGGCGGCCTCAGTATAGGAGTCAGAGGCTACTGCAGAAGCCAAAACCAGCAGGCTAAAAATGGAACTTGGGCTTGCTGGGCTTCATGTATATGGGGCCGAAACAATTCGCGCTGGGCTGTGGGGTTCATTGTGCAATCTATGAATAAACAAGGGTTTAGGAAAGGTACCGGAACTGGGGTTTTCTTTTAAGTACATAAACATCCCCCAAGCAACCTTGCAAACCTAAGTGGCCCTTTTGGGAAAAGGCAAGCTGACTTTACGGAGCACTTTTCTGGGTTCATTGTAGGCAATGGCATGGGAGGTCTTTTTGGGCTGGGGCCTTAGACTGCTGTCGTTACCTCAGGCTGCTTTCATTCCCCGAGCCCGAAACCCTGGTGCACACGACCGAAACAGAACTAGTTAAACGTTTTAGAGTGAGGAATTGGTACTTTGGAACCTACTTAAACAGGTTACAATGGGGCTCGAGTGAGCTTGCTAAGGCTGCTAAGGGAAACCTACTATTTTACCTAACCTGGTCCCTCAAGGTAAGCCAAATCCAATATCAAAAAAGAAGCTTATCTTTGGCGTCCATATCTCCGGCTTTGAGGTTGGTAGCGCCATCTTACGTACAACCCGCCCCAAAACACTGTAGACCTCCTACATAACTCCCACAGCCTCTACATGATCCCCGTCATTGATATTAGCCATAATCTGAACTCCTAGCATCCCCCTTCATAACCCCTATACTAATCCCCCATATAATCCCGTATATAACCCCCTGTAAGGAGTTTAGATTATGTCTCATCTATTGAACACAGGTTTTTCAAGGAGATCCTGACTCTGCCGAGGCACTAGGTATCGCAGCCCCGTCACCCCAAGCATGCACGCGATTATCAGCCGTGTTGCCTCAGAGATTTCTGGTGGCAAGGCTCCTATATATATTGGGGTAATATAGGGATAATGGAAAAGACAATGGAAACTACTATAGGATGTTGGGGTTATTTATGTAGATAATGGAAAGGAAAATGGAAACTGCTGTAGTATATTTGGGTCATATATAGGGATAATGGAAAAGAAAATGGAAACTACTTTAACGGGCTTTATAATGGAAAGTGGTTCTTATCGTGATCACTCGAAACCGACGTGGATTCCATGATACTCCATGTTTATCCGAATGTATTGTTCTGTCTGCTTGCTGTTGTTCTGGCTCGTTGAGGTACCTGGCGCTGTTCTGTACTAACTCTTTTAGCAAGCACGGAAAGGCGCACTTCCCCATTCAAGCTTAGTTTGTCCAGCAAACTGTGGTTAGGTACAAGTATGACAGTACACTCATAAACTGTGCCGACTTTGGCGCTAGCACATGTGCTTTGAACTCAGAGGTTGAAAGCAAAGATCTTCCACACAACGCAACATGGTTGATGAGAAGAACCTTCTCCCTGCTGAAACTTCATATTCGGTGTGGTTACACCTTGCCAGGCCCTCATGCTGCGAAAGTGCCTCATGGTCTACAGTCAAGATCTTTCCCATACTTAGACTAACGGGCAAAGGCTCTGAGTCCATGTTTAGGTAGTCTTAACAATCCCTTTGTCGACCCTGAAAATGCCGACAGTAGCTCATGTTTTGGTTGTTGAACCAAGCCTGACAATATCATTTCTCCTATAAAACACAATAAAACACTATACCCCAACGGAGTAGATATTTTTCTCTATCCTGGGGCTACAGTACCACGTTTACAACATACTACATAACACCAAGATAACACTAGCTTCCATTTGATGTTCATCAATTTCTCCACTACAGAGGTGATCTCCTTAAACCCTAAATCCTAAACTCTAAGTCCTAAACCCTAAACCTATACCCTAACTCCGAAACCCTCAATCCTAAACCCTAAGTTCTATACCCTAAATCCTATACCCTAAATCCCAAACCCTGAATCCCTGAATCCCAAACCCTAAACCCTATACCCCTTATGCCCCTCACATGGCGGCCGTCAGGATGCAGATGTCAGGATGAGCATCGTGGCACGGCAGCGGCTGATCTGGCTCAGGGATAACGCTGCCAGGTCCAGCTCCTCTTGGTAAGGTTTAAGGTTTAGGGTTGAGGTAATAATAGCCCGGGCCGCCCCCGCCACACCCCCCCCCCCACAGACCTCTGTCACGTCCCTTGGTTTTGCCACAAGGCATTCACAAGCCCAACGTCTTGGGCCGCTCCTCTCTCTTTCTCTATGTGCCTAGATATATATATGTATACAGAGAGGTACGGAATGCGGGCCTGCGCTTTGCACATCAAGGCTTCCAAAAAACATATAAATGAATTTGTATGTACCTATATACATATATATATATACACATACATGTACTACATATATATATATATACATTACACAATCTAAATACACAGTTACATCCTTCAGGCAAGCCGAGGGGCAGTCTTGTCAGCAACAAGGGAGCTCATGGCCCAGGTCAACGAGATGATGGAGAGCAATTCGTTGGTAACGGTCGCCGCCCAGACCTGGGTTTTTAGGGGTGAGGGCTCAGGATTTGGTAGTTTCTAGGGGGGACCCCAATACAGACCCTAAAATATT